GTGTGAAAATAGAATTTCCCCATTTCTTAATCACATTATTCTGTATAACTAAACAAATCAATAAAAAAATCATTTCCAAACACATTTACTCTGTTTGATTTTAGTTTTTAATTTTTTTTTGAATTTTTTTTGTGTTTTGTGTTTTGTAGTCTTTGGTGATTTTTTTTTTCTTTCATATTTTAATTAATGTTTTTGCACTTTTTAGACACACCCAGTTGAAAAGTAAAATATTTGACAAAAATCTTTTAAAAACATTTTTAGATTTCTTTAATAAATATGTTACTGCATTTAGTTTAGAGGGGAATTTTTATTAAGGTCTATGATATTAAGATTTTATAAGATAAATGACATACAATATTTTCATAATAGTTGAAATCTCTCAATATTTTCATAGAGAAAATTCTACACGAGAAATTTCGTCCTGACATAGAATTTTTTTTCTAATTTCACAAAGAAATTTTATCGAGAAACCTTAACTAATAAAAATATATATATTGAACCTCTCCTATTATCTAAAGTTGGAAAGAAATATTTCATTAATTTCCCTTTAGATTAAGTAGATCTAAAAATTAGAAATAAAAAACAAACAGAATTATTATTATTTTTGACCTCATAAAAAAATCGAATCCCAATCACACCTGAATTTTTTAAATAAATTTTTATGGTACGTAACATTGGTGGTTTCAGGCACTGGACGGTGGACATGGCAAACTTTGTGTTGTATGGTAACAAGGCACCAGTGGTGGTGTGGGATGTGACTGAGGACACCAATCCTTTGAGGTACCGCAGTGACAATGTATATTTTGAGAAAGCTTCCAACGCTGATGACTTCTTTGTTCTCGGGTGGTTGGATTTGGCCCGAACCCGACTCGTTAACCCGGGTGATGAGGTCGGGCTGTATTGGGATCCAAGGTCTGGTAGCTTTCATTTCAAGTTGCTTAATCGTGAGACTCAGAGTGTCAATCCATGAATTTTAAAGTCTTGTTTGGATTATAAATTTATGCATAGATTTGAAAATTAAAAAAAATAAGAATGAAACATGAATAAAATATGATTACATTTCATTGATTTTGTTTCTTTCTTTTTTTTAAATTCCTACCTAAATTAATGATCCAAACATGTCACGACCCAAACCCGTTAGAGCTTCTATTCATTTACATTGCCAGAGCTGAATTATAACTACAAAGTGTCTTGTGCATATCCCACACACTGATCCTGACACGTCACCTGAAAGTGGTTAACAACTTTAAGCATATGACAGAATAAGAAATATTAATGTACTAAGAACATAAGGGTATAAAATCACCATGTATAATTATTTGACTAAATAGAGATTTGTTTGATATAAATTATTTTGAATAACAAACATATAATATAGAAATCATATAATTACGATACAAAACATATGTATAGACTTAAGAGATGGGTCATACGAATTCTAGAGGTGGCTCCCACAATAGTATGACACTTAACTCTGCACAACACTTTGCTCCATGCCAAAGAACATAACCAAACACATGTATGGATTCAAGATGTGTCTCGTACGAATTCTAGAAGTGACTCTCACAATAATGTAGCACTTAGCTCCGTACAGCATTTTACTCCACACCAGAGGATCACTTAAAATGACAATTCAGAGACTTAATGGTTATTTAAGTCCCCCAATACATGAGATTTCTACAGTGATACTTACAAAATAATTATGCGAAACACATGTAATAAACAATCATATCTATGAATTTCACTTTGAAGTAAATAAGGTTCATTTAATAAATAATATATAATTTACAAAATATAATTTACACAATAATTTATGATAGTTCAAAATATAACAAAATTTACCTTAAACTAATATAAGTTACAAAATATAATTTATCAAAAATAATTTATAATAACTCAAAATATAAAGGTGCCGTTTGGTAACACTTACGTTTTCAGTTTTCTGTTTATATTTACAAAAATTTTAAAAACTCAAATAAAAACTTGTTTGGTAAAATTTTTTATTTATAAATCAGTGGTCTCAATTTATAAATTTGGCCAAAAAATGAAAACACAAAAAATGTGTTTCCATTTTGAGTTGCATTTCAATTTGATCTAAGGGGCGTAGCTTTTGGAGCCATGGTGAATTTTGGTCAAGCTGATGCATTACGCAATGCTGGGAAGTTGCAGATACAATATCAAAGGTTAATATATATATATATATATATATGTTAGTGGGTGTGTGTTTACTTGATGAGTGTATTTGTTAAATCTGTAAAATATAAATTTTAATTTTGATTTAAAAATAAATATGTTGTGTGCTATTTAAGTAGTAAAGATATTGTTTCCCATATTGAAGATCTTGGATTGGAATCTTTTGCTCGGTTCGTATTTTCTCGTGTTTGGAATAATAGAAAACGAAAGTCAATGAATTTTTTTTTTTTTATTATCAACAAAAAACAAGCTTATTTAGATATGAAATGTTTTTTACTTTTAAACAAAAGCCAGTTTGTATACTACCACCGCCACTCTCACCTTCAGCACCACACCATCATCACCATGGCCACCACCATTGTCATCGTCTCTATCACCGTCACCGCTGCCCCACTACCATGCTACCACCTCTACCACCTGCCACCTACCACCACCACTACTACCACCACCAATATGTAGATTGTTAGTGAACCACTCATCACCACCACTACCCACTTGCTACCTACCACCGTCACCCACCCACCAACCACCACCCGCCATCCACTACCCACTTGCTACTACCACCCACCACCCGCCACCACCCACTCGCTACCACCCGCTACCGTCACCCACCACCACCACCCACACCCACCGTCACCACTTTCCACCGCCGTCTTCCGCCGCCACTTGCCACCACTTGTCATTTCTCACTTTTTTTATATTTTTTAATTTTTTAAAACATTTTATTAATTACCAAACGCGTTTATAATTTATGTTTTTAAAAAAAAAATAAAAAATAAACAAAAACAGTTTATAAAATTTTTATAAATATAAACTACAAACGTAAACATCACCAAACACACCCTCACCTCAATATTATTTCTCTTTGCTACACTGTTTCTCCTATCTCTTCGAGTTTTTCATTCATTTTGCCCACTCATTTGTAAATGAATTCTCCACACCTGGTGACTTACAACGAGGGTGCACACCACATCTCACACGTTTTCCTTTCTTTTCGTTACTTTTCTTTCCTTCCTTTATTTTTTCTTTTGTCACCATCTTTCACTTTCATTTTCATTCTCTTTCGTTTCTTTCAAAACTTAATTATTATTATTACTATAACAATAATAATACAGACCCTACTATTTCCACCCCACTGCCACACATGGTGATTGGAGAGAGAAAAAAAAATAAATAATAATAAAAAAAAAATTGTCAATGACCGCCCACTGGAGTCTCCCAGTGCGGTGCCAAGTATTATACATTACTATAATGATATAATATAATAAATAAATATATATATATATACTGTTTGGGTGAGTGAAAACTTGATCCAAACAACATTACATTATCATTTTTGTTTTTGTTGTGTTAAACACAATCACTCTCCGATTAAAAAAAAAAGAACACACAACCACTCTTAATTTAATTTAAATTACATTTTATTACACACAATTATAAAATTAAATATTTTGAAGTGTTACAAAACATAACCTTAATGTATGTTTGTGAAGGTTTATGTTTCTAACGTTTCAAAATATCACTGTGCTTGGTTATCATTTTTCAAAAACAGTTTTTAAAAAATTTTACTTTTTTATTTTTCGTATTTTTTTGTTTTTACTGAATTTTTTAAATATTTTGAACAATTTTTTTTTAATTTTTAAACATACCTAACATACATATACTTAAAAGGTTAAAAAAATTTAAAAAAAACATTTTAAAAATTCACTAAATACCAAAAAATAAAAAAAAATACGAAAATTCAGTACATTTTTTATATTTTTATGTATTTATTAATTTTTAAAAATATTTTTTCACAAATTTTTTACTTTTTAAATGCATCTAAAAAAGTAAAAAAAATGTTTAAAATTTTAAAAATATTCACTAAAAACAAAAAAATACGAAAATCAAAAAACTCAATTTTCAAAAAACTTAATTCAAAAAATTCGAGCCAAACACACTGATTTATTAGCTTCTTTGTTATGGATTTCGCTCTCTCTCCGAGAATTTGTCCCCCCAAAAAAGAAAAGAAATGAACTTATTACATATGAACTTAGGAGAATATGTAATCATCTTGTTAAAAAAACATGAACAAATCATGTGTCTTATAAGTCAAACTTATTAAATATAATTTTATTTGTTCTCAATTTCAAATACTTAAATCATGAATTTGTGAGGAAGGCAAAATATTAAAAAATAAACTACAGTAGAATTTTATTTTTCTTCTCTGTTTTGGTTGAGTTGAAAATGTGAAGAAAAAACAAAATACATTTTTATTTTATTTTTTAAAATTGCACATGGATTGGCCCCAACTGTAGATATGTTGGTTTAGACCCAAATGAATCATTTTTAAGGGTTGAAAGCAAAACCCATGCAGATGGAACACATGTCACTTATGCTTAATAAAATTCACAAACAAATTATCAGATCCGTAGCTTCTCTCTTTTCTTCACTTATTGTAGCAATACAAAAATAACAATACTAGAAAAAATAGTGAAAATCACATTTATAGACTTCAATAATTTTGGGTATAGCTCATATTTCATCAATTTTAAATTTACACTGGACAAAAAATCCATCAGTATGGTTTATTTTCTGAGAATGTAGTATTGATTAGTGACATATTCAATCGTACCCTTCAGGGTGATGGGGGAAAAGGAAAGAGCAGAAAGGTTAATACAAAAAAAATTATTGCATGCCACGGCCACCACAAGCATTCATGCTGCAGCAAAGCCTCTTTCATTCTTGATCTTTAAATAAAAACAAAAGTGAATGGATATATAGAAACTGCTTTGACCAGTTTTATGATCTCTCCATAAGATGATGGATAGCCAAAAAAACCAGAAATTTTGAAGTTTATAGGGGAACTCCTCGTCGAAACCATGATTGTCACAAACACGGAAATCAGTTATAAAAATACACAGAATACACAATACACTGGCAACACTGCATTCATCCTTTTTCGATTTTTTTTTTTGGTACCTCCACGGGTAATGTTTTTGTTTTTGTATGTGTATATATGATCAGATTATGATCACTATAATGATTATTTTGCTTCTAATTAAGTGTTTTTTTTGGGCATACCAATTATGCTAAGTGATCCAATCCAAGGGCAGAGAGAGAAAGTTGTTAGCTGCCCTGCCCTAATCAGCCTCATCTTCATATCATATAGATGAACTAAGTGCCCATTCTGTCAAAGGCAAAACCACTTGATCAGCTTCACATCACTGTACAAGAGAGAATGTTGCTTATATTTTTATATTACAGTCAAAAGGCAATTATGTATATTTTATCAGTTAATTTTTCACCAGAAAAGCTATGTATCTAAAAATAAAACAAAACGTGTAGATCAGATTCAAATTTAGTGTGGTGTGAATCATATCTAGAATAAATTTGATCTATACATTTTTCTTTTTGGTACTTTTTAAGATTAGTCGAGGTGCGACACTCTGAAGGGGTGCTGGCCCGGACACTCGGTTATCAACAAAACACAAAAAAAAAAGTAGCTCTGTTTCTTTTTTTTCTTTCTTTCTATTTTTATTTATTTTTCCCACCTTATCCATTTTCTTATTAAGGGATTGTTTAGGATAACCTAAATAAGTGTACTTTTTGTCTTTTTACGAAAAAATGTACAGAAAAGTAAAAAGATGATGTGATAGAAAAAAGATAAAAAGATAAAAAGATAGATTATTTGAAGTATGCCAAATTTAGCCTTAATTAGTTACTGATGACCACACTGAACTTTGGTCATGATATATGAATAACTTGTTAAAAAATAGATGTAGAAAACATTAGTCCAAGACTTTGGTCATGATATATGAACAACTTGCTAAAACAATAGATGTAGAAAACATTAGTCCAAGATGTGGGCCTCTAGAAAGAAGTCATAGAACCAAAAGATACATACATGCACACTATATGTATATATGAAATTAATCAGAAATTGAGAAATTATTAGATATTATTATGGTATTGTTTACTTGGTTAAATTTCAGGCAATGAGAAATTAGCACACACTAAATGGATCGTCTTTCTCTCCAAAATACATAACAAAAGTAAGGCAACATGTCCGCCCATAAAATTTTCTACTACATAATTGGTTTGAAATATCAAATAGATAATGCTATACAATACTCCAGACTACTTAATTTTCTAGATAATTTAACAAGAAAAAAAAAAAATTTTTGCACAAATTTATAATGACTTTTTTTTTTTTTTTTTCACGGTGAATCAAATCTATACAATCTATGTATTTAAATATTGGCTATATTGAAATTTTAAACTATTAATACAGATATATTGGTCAATATTATCTTATATATGACTGTATCGTCCATACCGGTGATAAGTATTATTTCAAACCATGATCCAATAAGCTGGACATGAAAATCTGCATATAGAACAAATTGAAGGAAAAGAAATTGAAAGAATGGAAAAGAGAGAGAGAGAAGAATATACCTTTGAGCTCACAGAAAGAGAAAAAAGACGCGGTGCACTAGGAATGGCAGAAGGAGATGAAGCAGAAGCAGAAGCAGAAGCAGAAGCTATGGCCATCAAAGCACTCTCTCTCTCTCTCTAATAGTTGTTACATTTTATGAGCTTTCCTAGAAGCTCTCTTGCCCTAGATATATATATATATATATAGAGAGAGAGAGAGAGAGAGAGAGAGCAATGGAGAGATAAAAGTGGTGGGTTTGACAGGTTCAATGAACCCGGACACTTGGGTCGCCCAAAGTTCATGGACTGACTGTATTTTCACAGAGAATATACTGTATGAGTAGTGATTAAGAATTTTTAAATTATAGTTTTAATTTAGGATTGGTTTGTCAAAAAGTCACTATCGTATTTAAGTCACATTATTTTATTTAAATCGCATCACCTTTTTAATACATCATTTCAAATTCAATCCAAACTCAATTCATATTTCATGAAAAGTTAAAAAAATCATCCAAAACAACCCCTTAAATTCTAGTGATGTGATATAAAAATACATATAACCAAACAAATTAACATAAATATCACACCATATAATAGGTTCAACCATTAGAATTTGAATAATATTACATGTATTAATTAATATATCAATTGATAATGTGATATAATTTAATTTTTTTTTGATATTTATAATGTAATTAATAAGTGAAATAAATAATAATATCATAATTAATATTAATATATTAATTAATACATATGACATCACCATTGGAATTCCTCTTAAAACTTTAAGGCCAAGTTTGGCTACAAAGAAAAAATTGCACTTATTTTATCTTTTTATCTTTTTTGGGTCACATCAATCAATATATCCTCTCTACTTTTTCTACACATAATACAAAAATAAAATTAGAATTATCAATTATTTTTGTATACTGTATTTATGATTGATTCCTCTTCTTGGCTTTTTTTCTCAGCTACTGAACTTTTTGGCCCTATGCAATTTCTTTTATGAAAAAGCTAGGTCTCACAATTTGGAATCTATAATTTATTTAGAAATTGATTATATGTAATAGAGATTGAATTGATAAATATGAGATCTCCATAAAATGAATTTCAATCATTAATGTAAAATTTTTAATAATTTTTAGATTTTTATGTCTGTGTTTATAGTATTATTATTTTTTTATAAATAAATAAAAAATAAAGCAAAAAGTAAAATTATTCGAAAGTTTCTATTTGCAATGTCTTTGCTGTCGGTGAATTTTAAATTAACTTTTTGCCGGTATTTGAAAATAATTTTTTTCAAAAAGAAAAAGAAAGGGCAAATATTTTTCATAAAAAAAAAACACTAAACGGTTTTGTTTAGGAAGATTTTATCAAAAGCGCTTCATAATAAAATTTTAACAAATTAAGAATAAATATAAAAAGTTTTTTTTAACAAGTCTAACACATAACACTGTTACCAAAATATTCTTATCAAGTAATTTAATATTTTAAATTTTAAAATAATATAACTTTTATGTAAATATCAGTTTTTAATAAAATTAATATTTTACCTATTAAATATGATTCATATTGACCATGAATTTTTTTTAAAAAAAATTAAAAATACTGTCAAAATTAACATAAATAATAATATGTTACTCTTTGATAGTAACTGAGTACCAAAGTAACACTTTACTGTCTCCTTAAATAAGACATTAGTAAGAAAAAAAAGGAAAATTTGGAAGGGCAAAAAAAAAATGATAAATAAGCAAAAATAGAAATCAAAAGAAGCAACAAATAATACAAAACAACTCACAATGCTGTAAATTAAACCAAGAAAAGTAAAAGTTTGCAGCAAAATTTACTTGAGATTTGTTTATAATTTACAGTATCCAAGCAATAGTAAGAATAAAGTTCTCACCTCGTGGCCTTCCTCATCTTCCACGCAATCCAATCTAATCCTTCAAAACCCTCATGTTCTCTCTCTAAATCATATATCTTCTTCGTTTTATCCAACCCATCTTCCTCCATCTTAAATTCCTCAAAAAGCTTTAAATTTTTTTTGGATTCTTCTCGAACTTGTTTAGTTCACGTCGAAGGCTCGAGATCAGAGAGTGGGATCAGGAAGTTTTTGTATCTTTCTCTCAATCTCAATTCTCTATTGATTTCGTCGTCAGTTGAGAGCTTTACCAATTCGGATTCCGAGAGATGGCGATGTTGAAGCGTGCTGCCTTGTGCACAATTCGTGCTTTTGCTTCGAAGGCGGGGTCTCACTCAAATATCTCACGTATATATGGGAAAAATAAAAAATAAAAAAATTGTTTCTATGTCCTCCATGTAATATGAGCCTCCAAGTGAGGAGATTTTTGAAGAAAAAAAAATTATGGAATTTTTTTTATTGTTTATTTAAAAAAATAAAAACACAACTGAACACGTGCGTGCAATTTTGTAAAGTTATTTTTTGATGGAATGAATAATAAAAGAAAATGAACAGAATTCTAAGTTTAAGAACTTCATTTGATTAGGAATTATCTAAGCAAAAATGATAAAATTTTAAGGTCTTGTTTGGCGTACACTATTTTATCATATCTTTTTGGGTCCGTTTGTTTTGGGATTAAATAGATGGGAGAAGATTAGGATGGAGATGGAGTTATTTAGTGTCATGTTTGTTTGTAAAGTTGGGGAGGAAATTAAGATGGTGAAGGTGATATAGATGGAGGTTGAAAGGGGGATTGAGATGGAGGAGGTGAAGATGGTATTAAAAAAATAGTGAGGGGATTAAAAAAAAATTATTTTTTTTATTTTTTTATATATTGAGAATTTTTTTTTATAAATCTTAATATTTAATTTTTATATTTTTTTATTTGTTTTATTATTTTATATAAAAATAATTTAACAATTCTTACATTAACAACTATCATCAAAACAAACACAATTTTACTTAATTCCCTCACTATCAATCCCCTCACTACCATCCCCTCACTATGAATCCCCTCCATTCTACCTCTGAAAACAAATGGAGCCTTTATCTTATTTAGATCATATTATCTTTCTGCCGTATTACATATTTTTTCATAAAAAATCAAAAAATATACTTATTTAAATTATTCCAAACAACCCCTAAATATTAAATAGTTCTTACTTTTTTTAAGTATACCTGATTTTACTGAAAATCTGCAAAAGGGAATGAAATTCTCAGTTAATGTGAGAATCTCATTCCACCTAAATAGGGTTCGTTTAGGATGTGGATTAATTTTTTAATTTTTTAACTATTTCAGTCTGAGATTAAAAAGCTTCATTTGAGATATGCTTTTTTACTTTTTTGACTTTTGTGAGAGAAAAAATGAAATGATTATGATTTAGATGTGACGTTTTGTCTTATTAACTTTTTAACTTATTTTGTCTTTTTGTGACTAAAATAATTATAAAAAAAAAAACCAAAAAATTTGACATGCCAGACGATGGCTAAATTGACTGTGAATCACATTCTATTCTTGAATAGAACTGAATGCGATTTGAAATTAAATTCTCATTATGTCTCTCCTAAGAGCATCTCCAACGGTGAACCAAAATTTTCACTAAATTTGAGTAAAAAAAGGTCAATTTTCTCAATCTGATATGGCTTACTCCAATCGTGCATCAAAAAGGAAGTGGTCGACTAGTTTGTTGATCGGCCGGTCGACCGGTAAAGTCAATTTTTTTTTTTATAAATTTTTTTGGAACCGTTTGAACCAATAATTTGAATCATTTCGCAGGCCAATTTTTACATGAGCCGGTCGACCGGTTAGTCAACCTGGTGGTCTGGTCGACCACTTAGTGTAAAATTTTTATAAATTTCTGCTTTAACGGCTATACACAGTGAATTGGTGAAAGGAGCAAGCCGTCCTCAATTTGGTGAAATCTTTGATGTTTTTTCAATTTGATACCAATTTGCTGAAACCATTAGAACTCTAAAAAGTGATTTTTTCATCAAATTTTAAATTTAATATAAGATTTGATGAACCGTTGGAGATGGACTAATAGAATCACATCAATTGAAGAAGCCATTGAGCTTTAAGAGCTTTTAGAAGATTCACAAAAGTTGGTCACCGTAAGCTCACTTCTAAATTTTCTTGTGCACGCACCTTTTTATGTGCATTTTTAGAATAAATAAAAACTGCAAATGTAAACATATAGAAGATTCTCGATTAACTGTAACGTTAGTCAATTGTTTTCTTCTACTGCACAGTGTTCGGCTTATAAAATTGTGCTGTTAATTTTTTTAAGAATAAATTATAATTACAACCTAACGTTTGATTAAAATACAAATCGTCCTTGTAATTTTAAAAATTATATTCTACCCCCTGAGATTTCTAATTTTTAAACATTTTGTTAATAAATTATCAAGTCAATTAACAGTTTTTAATGATGTTAGAAATATGTTTCAATTAATAATTTAGATAATTTTATTATTGTATAGGAGAACAATTATGAATTTTGTTTTTCAGTTAATTCTGTTAAATAAAAAATTATGACAAGGGAATATTTATAATTTTTCAAATCACAAGGAACAATTTTTATTTTAAAAAAATCTCAAAGGATGAATTTGTAATTTATCTTTTTTTTAATAGTTCATCATCCAGTTTAATATAATAAATATTTATAAATTTGAATGATTCCTTATTGATTGGCAAAAAAAAAAAAAAAAAAAAAACCAAATGTGCAAATCAATGGGTTGGGATATAAACATAAGACATAAATGACAATCAAATAATAAATGTCGGGGAGGAAATATACCCTAATCACCTAATTGGAAGAAAACTATTGTTAGTAATATATAAAATATGTGAGATTGTGGGGTCCATTATTAATATTATTGTCGTAACAACAGCATCATTATCATCATCATCATCATCATCCATTATGACTAAATTAAAATTCAAGAGTGGGGCTGTGGGTTGGTAAGATATGAAACTGTTTGACATCAGCCAACAAGTATATTCCAAAGATCAGAAAAATAAAATAAAATAATGTGATAACCTAAAAAATAAATAAATAAATAAAACGAGTAGAGATTAAAAAAACATGTAGATTATTATAAAAAAAAAATGATTGCAGCTAAGAGAAATTATATTAGTTGTTGTCGGTTGAGGGTTAGAGGCCCTCCTGCAAAGACTAAAAGCATTATTGAAGCATTATATTCCAGTCAAATATAAATAAATAAACAAAGCAGTAATGTGGTACGCACAAAA